CTCACCCCCATTAGATTGGCTATAATAAAAAAGACAGAGAATAACAAATGCTGATGAGGATGTGGAGAGAAGGGAACGCTCCTACAGTGTTGGTGGGACTGTAAATTAGTGCAACCCCCATGGAAAACAATATGGAGGTTTCTCAAATAACTACAGATAGATCTTCTATATGATCCAGCAATCCCACTTCTGGATATATACCCAGAGAAATGGAAATCATCATGTCGAAGGGATACCTGCACTCCCATGTTCACCGCAGCCCTGTTTACAATAGCCAAGACATGGAGCCAACCTAAATGGCCATTGATGGATGATTGGATAAGGAAACTGTGGTATCACTTCTTGGCCTTTTGGCTAAGATCAAGTGTAGGAAACTGTGGTATATATACACCATGGAATACGACTTTGCCATAAAAAAGAATGAAATTCTCCAATTTGCAACAATGTGGATGAACCTGGAGAAACTTATGCTGAGTGAAAAAAGCAAAGCACAGAGGGATAAATACTGCATGTCCTTAATCATAAGTGGGAGCTAAGAGAGAAAGAAGGAAGGAAAGAAAGACCACAGTGGTGTGTTGGACTCCAAATAGGAGAAAGTATACATAGGGTTGCATGAGGGGAAGGGGGAGGTTTGAGATTAATTAGGTGGGAGACACGGGGCATAATCACAATTTGTGGTAATAGGCATCCCGATACTATTGATCTGACCATCACACCCTGGGCGCAGGTGGTGAAGGTCAGCTTTGTACTTCATGAATATGCATAATCAATAAAATTAAATTTTAAAAAAAATGAAAAAAGAAAAATAAATTACTCCCACCCAAAGCAGTCTTCTGCTTATATGTTGTTGACCAGGACTGGAACCCATACTGATCCTTCCTACTAGAAAAGGAAAATGGTGCTATGATGCTGGTCTTAGATCAGTCATGATTATCCCCTAACACTGGGAGGTGGGCTTAGTTTCCTAAGTACATTGCTGCCTTTCTCTTCTCCCTCTCCGCCCACCACCTCAAAGGGAAGACTTATAAACTATGGCAAAAGTAGGATAGACAACAATAGCACATGCCGCAATTTTCAAAGCGATAATCCAGGAAGGTAGAGCACGTATTTTCCCCAACCAAATTCAAACAAAGGAAGAAAAAGACGAATTCAGCATTTGTGTTTCTTATATAATTCCACTTTAACAAAACTTAACAGTTTAAATAGATGTAAGTAAAACTTCAATGTTCCCAACCTCTAAATATCACTCATACTCACAGAGTGAAATGTACAACGATCTGTATTCTTGACCTTGCTGTCATCAGCAACACGTTCTACCAAGTGAGCCAACCTGCCAGCCCCACTGAAACGTATATTTTCACAAATGGGTATAGACCTCCTAACTAATCAGTAATTGTGTGCTGTCTTCTCCACTGCAGCCCAGCAGAAATTACACTTACAATTCCTGCTGTTTCTATATTCCCTCCATGGCTACTTGTCTTATTGATCCTGCTAGGTTATATTTTCATTTAAAGTACACACTACAATAATTATCTTTCCATACTATGAGGAAAAAAATTATAGTAAATTTAAACAAAGGTAGAACAAAAAATTATTATTGTTATTTTTAGATTGACTTTAAATCAGAGGTCAAAACTGACAGCCTGAAGGTATGTTTTATTTGTCCAACAAAATGTTAACAGTTTTTCAATTTTGAGTGCCTTTAGTTGAGCTTGTGTTCTCCTCTGTACCACAGGCTCCTCCAACTGTCTTATATTAAATCCAGCATCCATGTGTTCATGGTAACTCACTAGCACAATAGGCACTTGAATTTACCAATTTGATGTGGGTAAACCAAGATTAATAAGTAAATTTTTTTTTTTTTTTCTATTTGCATAAAACTGGCTTCCAAAATAACCTCCAAAATCAATAGTGGACTTTTCTCCAAGACAACTAAATTTTTGGCATGCTTGATTAAAATTTTCATCTGGCCTTTTATCAGTAATATCCTCTTCTTAATAGGGAGAACAGAAGGTTGTATCATGTCTTCATTTTATTTATTTGAATAAGTTCTGTTCATAGCCACAGTGGGTAATTTTGCACTATCAAATTGTTCATAATTTATACTTACACAGCTATTGTCAATTGCATATTTTAAAATATATTTTAAAAGACTAAAATGCTTAAAGATAATAATTATTAATAACTTACATATTTAACTTTCTAGACTTCCTTTTAAAAGATCTCAGAACACTTTATAAATATTTTATGAATAATTTACAAAATATTCTTTTCTATAAAGTTTAAAAAAATCCATAGTCTCAGAATAACAGAGGGAAATTCACACTCACAATCTAGTGTATTAAATCTCCAACACCACATTCTTTTCTTAACAAAATTGACCTTTGCTAATGTTAAAAATTTTCTGTTTAATAGTTTAGGAAATAGTTGTGCAATGCTTTAAATGAATGGAAGAATTTGGGAACTTGGAAAGAAATGTCAAGTAGATCCTATTTCTCTCATTTTTTCCCAAGTGATCATTTTTATATTATTATGTTTACAAGTTGTGTGGATTTATTAAAGCTCTCTGTAGTCAAAATAATAGTGATCTACCTATGTTTAACTGCTTTCTTGTTAGTTCCTAGCAGTTTGTTATTACGATGCTGTGATTTTTTCTCTCTAACTCTCATCTTTCTTCCTCCCAGTCCTGGTCTGCTCGTATTTTCTCTGCCTTTATTTGTTTAAAAAGATAATCAAACATTAATTTACAAAGGGCATGGGGAGAGATGAATACAAGACAACCTCTTACAAACTTGTCCAACTCCAACATTCCTTCAGCAAGTCTGGAAATATTGTTAGTGTCATACTATTACTGTTTATTCTATTGTGTCCTTAAAAATTAAAATGATAGAACTGGTTGAAACAGCACATAGTATTTAAAATATTTTCTGAGATATAATTCAAGAGACAATAAATATAAAGAGTAGGAACACTCCTTTAGTTAGTTGTTTCCAAGTCTGACTGAACATTGAAATCGTCTGGGGAGATTTTAAAATTACTGATCCATTGCCCAGAAATTCTGATTTAATTGGTTTGGACTGTAGCCGGGACATGAGATTTTTTAAAAACTCCCCAGACGATTCTAAAGCACAACCAATGTTGGGAACCACTGGTCTCAGTCTATCATCAGATTATCTGTTTTTAATCTTGATTATACATTAGAGTCAATGGGTGCATTTTTAAAATATAGCTTCTCAGACTTTATTTCTAGAAATTAAAATTCAATTTGTCTGGGATGAAACCCAGTCATTCATTTTTTTAATGTCACTATTTTAATGTAAAGTCAAGATTAACAATTACTGCTCAATAACCAAGATGTTTAACATCACGACATGGGAGAGTAGGATACACTGTCATTGTGTTTTTGTTTTTTGGGTGACAATCTATAATCTTTGCCTCCTAGAGGAGTTCGATGCATAAATTTAGTTTTGTAGCTAAAGTAAGTAAATTAATTTCGTTTTAAAAATTATTTGTAGTAGCAATTGTTAAAAGATAAACTGAGGGCCAGCCCGGTGGCGCACTGCTACAGTGCGCTGCTTGGGAAGTGCGGCGGCGCTCCCGCCGAGGGTTCGGATCCCACATACAGACCGGTTCCTGCTCACTGGCTGAGCGAGGTGCGGCGTTCCCTCTTGCCCAGCAAAATTAGTTCTGGCCCCAAACTTGTACACAGCCAAGCAAAATCCTCAGCCAAGCAAAATCCCTCACTATTCCCTGGGCTGATCCTCCTTAGTAAGGAGTTAAATGAACATCTTCTGTTTCTCAAACTTATCTGGGAGAGTTGCTCTCAGGCATTTTTCTAAGAAGTTGTTGAAGTATTTCTCATAATACCTATGGTATTCTCCATATGAGATATGGCACTTCCTAGCTGTGTGATCTTGAACAAGTTTTTTAATATCTTCGTGGCTCGGTTTCCTCTCCTGTAAAATGACAATAAAAATAGTACTTACATCACAGAGTTGTTGGGATATTTAAAGAAGTTAATATGGTTCGTGCACTTACAACCTACCTAAAAGAAACAGTATTTGGATATTCAGTAACTCATGAACGCAGCAGCTCCCCCTGAAGGAATCCGAGGAGAAGGCTTATATAGGATCAATCTGGAAGAAAGGTAAAGAAAGTATTTAGTTGTTTACAGTGAAGCAGTGTCCTTATTTGGGCCATTTCAGTGGAAAATTCCAAGTTAGAGGTTAGTTGGTGGTTTCTGACTGGTTAAGCCTTAAGTAAAAGTTTACCTTTTACCCTGAGTTGGGTTTCCGTTTGCTTAGGTGGGACCCCAGGGAGGTGAGGCTACCTCAGCCCAGTGGCTTCCTAATTTTAACACAGTAATAGCACCTTAGCATACGCAGGGGAAATTGCAGTTCTAGATATTCTGCCATTGAGTGGTTTTAGATTTGTTCTTCCTGCAACGTTTGGTCACATTAGTCATATTTCTATATGTAAGCCCGAGATTCAGAAGTTTTAGTTGCTCTGAGAAACTGTTGACATACTAGTTTGGTTGAAAGTGACTTTGGATGCTTTCTAGTAATGTTCTGATACAAAATTGTGAAGATGTCTTTGATACAGTGTTAATGCATAAAAAAACACAACTTCACAAACAGCTGCCTGTGATCTGAGGGTACATCAAAAAGTTCATGGAAAAATAGAATTAAAAGGTAATGTGAATCTTTCCATGAACGTTTTAAAGTAGACATGAATATAAGAATGTTCCCTTTTGAATGTATAGCATGAGAAAGGTATAAAGAAATGTTTTTATTTTTGAACATGCAAGGGATCGAGTAATTATTAAAAGTCCATCCGGCTGGGCACAGGTGCAGGGGCGGTGCGCGGGCAAGGAGGTGCCCACCCGGGGCCAAGCGGCGGCCCAGCCCTCTGCACGCCTCGGCTGCTCACCGAGCTCGTTCCTGCGGGTGGTCACGAGGCAGAACTGTGGAGCGACGCTCGCTCGGGCGGCATTTGCTCTGCGGGACACGGCCAACCGCCTGCGGATCCATTCCATCAGGGCCACGTGTGCCTCCAGCTCCGGCCACCGCACGTCGTGCTGCAGTGCAGCGGAGATCATGTCCATCCTCTTCTTTCACACGATGAGGTATAGACAGAGAGACCCACAACACCCCGACAGCGGCCGGTTCATCCTCTCCAAGGGCCGTGCTACTCAGTGCTCTATGCTGCTTGGGCAGAGGTGGGCAGCATCAGGGAAGCCGATCTGCTGAGCTTGAGGAAAAGTCACTGAGACTTGGAGGGACATCCCACCCCTCGACTAGACTTGGCAACAGGGTCCCTTGGGCAAGGATTAGGCGCTGCCTGTGGAATGGCTTACACTGGTAAGGACTCCGACAAGGCCAGCTACCGGGCGTTCTGCCTGATGGGAGATGGTGAATCTTCGGAAGGCTCTGTCTGGGAGGCTTTGGCCTTTGCTTCCCACTACAGTTTGGACAATCTCGTGGTAGTCATCGACGTGAACCGCTTGGGACTAAGTGGCACCACACCCCTTGAGCACTGCATAGACATCTATCAGCATCGCCGTGAAGCTTTGGGTGGAATACTTACACAGTGGATGGCCCTGATGTGGAGGCCTTGTGCCAGGAGTTTTTGCAAACCTCTCAAGTGAAGAACAAGCCTGCTGCTATAGTTGCCAAGACCTTCAAGGGTCGGGGTATTCCTAACATTGAGGATGCACAAAATTGGCATGGAAAGCCAATGCCAGAGGGAAGAGCACATGCAATTATCAAATTAACAGAGAGTCAGATACATACCGACAGGAATCTCATACCAAGACCCCCTGTTGAACATTCACCTCAAATCAGCATCACGAATATAAAAATGACCTCTCCACCTGCTTACAAGGTTGGTGACATGATAGCTACTCGAAAAGCATGTGGTTTGGCTCTGGCCAAACTGGGTCATGCAAACGAGAGAGTTATGGTTCTGGATGGTGACACAAAGAACTCCACCTTTTCTGAGATATTTAAGAGAGAACACCCTGAGCGTTTCGTAGAGTGCTTTATTGCTGCCACACGTGATCGAACCATTGCTTTTGCTAGTACCTTCGCTGCCTTTTTGACCCGAGCGTTTGATCAGATCCATATGGGAGCCATCTCTCAAGCCAATATCAATCTTATTGGTTCCCACTGTGAGATATTCATTGGTGAAGACGGACCTTCCCAGATGGCCCTGGAGGATCTAGCTACGTTCCGAAGCATTCCCAATTGCACTCTTTTCTATCCAAGTGATGCTATCTCAACAGAGCATGCTGTTTATCTGGCCAACAATACCAGGGGGATATGCTTCATTCTAACCAGCCGACCAAAAACTGCAGTTATTTATACTCCACAAGAAAATTTTGAGATTGGACAGGCTAAGGTGGTCCGCCACATTGTCAATGACAAGGTCACAGTTATTGGAGCTGGAGTTGCTCTACATGAAGCTTTAGCAGCCGCTGATGACCTTTCTCAACAGGTTTTTCTATCTGTGTCATTGACCCATTTACCATTAAACCCCTGGATACTGCTGCAATCATCTCCAGTGCAAAAGCCACAGGTGGCCGGGTTATCACAGTGGAGGATCACCATAGAGAAGGTGGCGTCGGAGAAGCTATATGCGCAGCTGTCTCCAGGGAGCCTGACATCCTTGTTCATCAGCTGGCAGTGTCAGGAGTACCTCGAAGTGGGAAACCTAGTGAATTGATGGATAGGTCTGGAATCAGTGCTGGACACATCATAGCAGCTGTGAAATCTACTTTAATGAACTAAAGTGGCTCAGTTTTTAAAAAGTCAAGTTTGTTGGCTTTTGTCTTAAAACACTGGTATCTTTATATGAGTATTAAATCCACGCTTGTTGCTACAAAACCATCATTTATATCTATACAATTGTACTTTTTTTAAAAGCAAAACTATTTAACACCTTTTTTATTCCTAATTCAGAAATTCCAGTTAACTACTTTTCTGTTAAACTCTAACTATACAAACAAATGTCACTCTCATTTTTGAGTGAGTTATAAAATTTTAAATAACAGAATAGGAAATAGAACAACTACAAAATAGAAAGTTTTCTGATAAGACTACAAATAACTGACTGGGTTGGAGATCAATGTAGAGGTAACTGTTTCTTAAATGTGTGTAATTTGTTTGTAAGTTAAGAAAATGTGAATTTGATTGTAGACATCAATAGTTTGGTCTTGAAGCCAGTTTTAGTTTTCATATAATACCGTCCTACAACTGCAGTTTCCTGGGTAACTTTAAACTGTAGTTACCTTGGAATGTCCTCTGAAGTTTGCTTTCATCTCCCCTCTGTAGTTTAGAGTCTGTAGAGCATCACCGAAAGCACTTACGATGTGCAACACTGCTTGTGGTGACTGCTCTGTAAAGAGAAAAAAAGCATAACTAGTTCTAGTCTGCACTCTATATATACTGTTTTGTGAAGATTCAGAAATGTTCCACTTTTTATATGACCAAACCAAATTGCTAACTTGATTATATTCATGTACTAAAGATACTAAAGTCAATGTAATAAAACATTTAAAAACCAGATGCTTTATTTAGTTTGTGCCATGTATGTATAATTTGGTTTCTCAGTGCAATAATTGTAAGTAAGGAAGAAACTCGTTTCTCACTCAGAAACAAACAGAGGCATGTCCTCCAACAGCAAACGTGGAAAAAGAGCAGGGCTGGAAATAAACTACTAGAGAGTGATGTCTGGACTGAAGAGCCAACCCTTAAGCAGACTCCTTACTTGTAGGCGTAAGTGCATACATTATATGCTTGGAATACAAGAAAGAAGTCCCAGTCAGGTATTAAAGATGGACCCAAGGTTCCAAAGTAAATTGAAATTGCTCCCAGTGTGTTTACGTTAGGTAATTAGTTCCTTATTTTTATTGCACTCATTAAATGTCCTCATTAAGTTCTTCGGAGGCATAACCAATTTGTCTGGGCAATGCTTGTTCTAGAAGGTATGAAAGAAACCAAAAAATACTAACCTGGGAATTGGAGAAACCAGAGCCTACTCATTCGGCTACTGTCCTTTTACTCTGAGCTAGTTTCTTCTTCTGTAAAATGTTCTATTTTTCATAAGACTTAAAAAATTATTATGTAAAAATAAAAACACTTGATATAGGATCACTGTTTGTCATTTGGAAAATGCAAATAAGCAGAAATATTTTACCTCACATTTTACTGAAAAATCCATTTAATTGTATTTGCTACCATGAAATATATAACTGGATCTTCCAAAATAGTCATTCAGATCTAGTAACATCAATCAAATATGACATCTATCTATGAGTGGGGTAATACTAAATATGATAAATATGACTCCAACCTTACATTTTTCATACCTTAAAGATGGATAACATTAATTCAGACACACAGTAAAATAGATAAAACAAGAACACAAAATTGCTTGTCATAACTTGGGTGTGCCTTCTGGAGAAGGTCTTCAGTTTTTATTACTTTATAACATGAATGTGGGATGCAAAATGGTCTGTTTCCAACCAAACATGCATAAACACACTTTTAATAATGACAGTAGATCAGTTTTTTAATGTCTAATGGAATTTCAGAGACCACCATAAGTTATATTTTTTTGTAGGAGGGTGGGGAAGCCCTTCAGAATCTCTCCTGTAAAGGTTTGATTTCACGAGCTATCAACCAGTGGCTATCAGCTTCATAGAGAAGAAATAGAAGGGGAGACTTGTATCTACAACTCTTAAAGTAAGATAGAATCATATCCAATTTCAAAATATTGAATGTTCTCTAGCCTTGAATTTATCCTGAGATCTTTTAAGTGTCAATAGAAACCTTAGGACAGAATCATCCTGACTAATGCTAACTCTTATCTGCTGAAGCTTGTGAAGATGTAGTTTTGATGAACAATGTGATCACTGGTTTAACTCTATCAGGATTGGAGGTTGCACGCTTGCCAGAAACCACCACATTGAGGACTAAAGAGGTACATGTATCAGAGAAATTCTGTGTGATGCCTGGAGTTTGGGAACAATAGAAAGTTATAACATCCCCTAGAAAGGAGCCACCAACTCTTAGAGTAGCTACTCGCTATTAAATCCCTCAGTTGGAATCAGTTGGCCCTAAACCTTGCTGAGTTTATAAAACAGATCAGTAGTGGTGTTGAACAGAGAGGGCACAGGATCTATTAGAAGATACTATTAGGAAATGGGATAGAGGAAAGATGTGAGAAAGAAGACTGCCCTTCTCTTCAACTCTCAGTGAAGCAACTGGGGAGAAAGAATTTTGAGATTGTAGGCTTAAAGAATGTGCAGCTAAGTCTTGTGATAATGAAGCTATTCTAATAACTGAAAGTGACTGAAAGTGTTAGGAAATTAGAGACAATGTTAAGGGTGCTTTATATATAATGGAAAGGGATAGAAGAGGTTTCAACAGAATACAGACGACAGCAGTTAATGGAAAAATAAAAGTATTTTGTGATTATATGTACAAGAGTTGAGTCACTGCAGTCAAACCAGTTATACTAAGAAGAAATGTAACTCTTTGTATAATATTTTTATCTATTTTAAATTCAATATTTATAATATTGAAATATTTTGGTAACAAGCACATTGAATATAAATGATTTATAACGAGATTAAAACAAAACTTTTGTTTCCCTCTGTCTCTTTAAAAAGAATTCAATGTGGGTAAACTTAACTGTGGCTCTCAATGGAAAGTTGGACAGAACCCATGACTTTCCCATGTACCTCTAGGTAACAGACAATTCTGTGGTTACTTTACAAAAATCCAATCTGGATTCAGTGGTTAAACATTTACATCTTAGGGCCGGCCCGGTGGCGCACTGGATAGTGCGCCGCTTGGGAAGCGCGGTGGCGCTCCTGCTCGAGGGTTCGGATCCCACATACAGACCGGTTCCCGCTCACTGGCTGAGCGAGGCATGGGGGCGACGCTGAGGGTTGCAATCCCGTTGCCGGTCCCCGGCCCGGTGCGGGGGCAACACTGAGGGTTGC